AAGGCTTGGCCAGCTTTGAACCTCTTCAAGAAAGAGCAGGAAGAAGCCTCAGCAGCAGCTCCCCTCCCTTTTCTTGGTAGCTGAGGCTCTTGCCCCCTTTCTGAGCTAGATTGCAACAATGCCTGTGGCTATGTTCCTCACTGATCCAGATCCTGACTGCTGACTTGACGTCCCAGCTTGGTCTCATACCTGCCTTGTCAGTATGAACGTGGCTGGTGGTCTGAACTCTTGGCTGAACCTGGTGACTGTTGCTGGACCTGCTCTGCTCCCCTTGTTCGGGTACTGTGGTGCCTTACCTTTTGCTGGTGAGGCCTCTACCTCTGCCTGTCTTGCTGACTCTCTGCTCACCATCCCTTGTGAAGCAGCCTGCTTCTGCTGCTCCTTGACACCAGCCTGCTCAGCTCTGCCAAATCTGAGGTGTTTCTGTGCGTGCCCAAAAGTAGAACTTCCTTCAAGTTGAACTTTAAGATCAAAACTGCTGTCTCTTCAAAATAGGCTACAGCTGAGCTGGGAGCTTCACATTTGTAGCTTTGGATTACAACCTGACCTGTTTTAGGGAAGTTACTCCTTTCTTGAATTAAGCCCTTTCTTGCCTGTCAATATGGGATTCCTCTACCTGAACAAATGCCGACAGCACTGGTGTCTTTTGTGTGCATTTGCTAGCTGGGAATTTATAATCAGTGGAGACAATGAGACATGGTTTATGTTATCCCAAGGAAGATGTCTAAGATTAGGTGAAATACGTTGTTAAAGTGACTATTTCTCTCCACTGATTATAAGGGTGTTAAACTAGTCAGACGTTTTAGGTGGAGATACCTTCACTGAAGACACCTAAGGATAAGTGAGCTGAATCCCACTGTAGGCCCTGTTACATACATTCAGCCCTTATGGCTAATGGCCATGGTAGATTTTTTATTTAAAATACATTAACATTCACAAGTGATCTTAGTATTTTATTTCCATATGCTTCAGAGAGAGAAGCAATTTTCAAAAATTAGAGTCCAGTTCTGTGTTTAGATTTCAGATTTGGAATTTTGCTAGGGCAGGGGGCCAGATCCAGGGTCAGGGTCCCTTCTTTCCTGCTTCTGCCTTGCACACACATCACCAGGCATTATGCACTTGGCAGGGACACTGCTATATATCTTCTAGATCCCAACACACAGCTACAGAAGACTCAGTCAGGGATGACTGTAGGGCTTAGGATATTCCTGGCTAGTATCTGAAGACCACAGCCAGCTGGCTTCATTTACCAAGTTGCTCTAAATCTAGACAATCCTACTGCCAGATCCAGCTTTTGTGACTTTTCCATTCCTCCCGTTTCACTTTCCTTGGAGGAAACCAAGAACAGCTGTTCAAACAGCACATGCAGCCTGAATGGCCAAACATCTTCTGTTCCTGCTCCCAGCCTACAGGAGCGAGGTGATGGCTGCTTCTGCAGAAGCAGACAACGGGAGAGAAAGCAGCTGATTCAGTAACACCTCTCTCCTCCTACCCTACAGCAGCAAAGTCATCTCTGCAGCTTCCTGCAGGATTAAGAATGAGTTGTTGGTGTTGGTGCAGACAGTATGGGATAGAGAAGAGGGAGGTTAGCTGTTGCATGCCAAAACCCTCCTTCAGTTCCTATGCTGAGGTTAGAGCATCCTGCATTTGACTACATGAGACCTGAGGTCAACTGAGATTTGCTATTATCTGCTAGCAATAGCATCACAGCTCTTTGGTGTTCCTTCCCAACATTTTTTAGCCCTCTTCCTTCCCTTCTCCACCCACAAGGAGCAGGTACTGTTCAGAATGTGTGCTCTATAGCTGCCGTTTGTAATGTTGTCATATCATTAGTGTGAAAACATTGGAAAGGGCATTTTTTTGTTTGGAGGATCAAAGGATTAAAAGGCAGAATTTTTCAAATCTCAC